TGCGATGACGTCAACTACCACTTCTCCGTCGAGCGCGCGAGGACCTTCGACCGCTACCATTGCGATCAGTTCATCTACCCCTTTTTCGTCGAGCGCGCGTGGACACGACCACTACTACCACGACGACCACCTCATTCACCACCGCGGCTACCATCAATATCTCTTCCGCCCACGTTCATAGAGACGCGAACGACTCCTACATCTCCGATCTTCAGGTCCGCTGACTCGCGAACCAATCCATGCCCCCAGCTGGTCGCGGCAACGCGACCAGAATCATCCCTGCACCTCGACGCGCCACTACATCCTATGTTATGTGCGTTCATCCGGTGCTTGAGCCCCGTCGCGCACCTGCTCGTGGCCACCGCCGTCGGCGCATTCCTCGGCCACATGATGCGAGAACGTGCGGGCGACCAAACCAGAAGCCCGACATGGGATCCGGCCTGATCGGCGCCCTGACGCGCGTGGACACGCCAGGCGCGCGCCTGGCCCGACGCGCGCTCGGGGCGAGTGACCCCGTCGCAACAGGCCGCAGCCCCACTCCGGAGCTTGGAAGGCCATGCGCGCGCCGCAGCGACGCGCGCCCTCCCCCGCCGCAATTCCGTCGCGGAGTTGAGCGGGGCCCGCGCCGACCCCGTCGCGCACTCGCTTTGCGCCCCGCCCAGGGGTTCGACGGCCTGGAGGACGAGCGGCCACTGCGACAGGGGCCCCGCGTCCAGCCGAACGAGCGCATCGACAGGGCGGTGGCCAAGTGGGAAACTTCCTGCATGGGGGCGGACACCGCGGGCTTCGGATAAGAAGACTTCCAGTTCTCGTTCGCCGCGTTAGTCCGAGCACTACGCACCCCGCCAGCATCTCTGTTCTGGTTGTCGCGGCCACGCGACTTCCACCAATCCTTTTGCGCCGAGTTGAAGTTAATCCCATCGGTCTCTGCTGGGGCGTTCTGAGCTAATCATAAGGTCTGCCCAGCACTATCTGCATCATTCCAGCTCTCTCCCCCCGCGCGCACCTTGGCGCTGGGCGGCATGGTTCGTGGAAACATGACCCACGCCTCACACCTCTTTTCCCTTCTCTTATGCACTGCCTTGGTGTCCGAAGCTGTTGGCCACCAATCTTTCTACGCTAGCGCGCGCCCTCAGTCCACGCGTGGATGGCAGCGGCCGAGCTGAGCCCCCCCCCACCCCACTCGACTTTGAGGGAAGCCCCAAGGGTCGGGGCGCTCGCTGCTTGCTCGCCGCTACCGTTTGGCCTTAGAGGCAGCGCTGCCACGTCTGCACACGGGCAGGCGGTGCCTGGTCGTGCCACCTGCGGCGGTGTGTGGGCGAAGAGAGAGACCTTTCTTCACTCCTCGTGCCGCCACCACTCCGCCATCAGTTTATGCCCCCTGACATGCACGATTCTTTTTTCAGGATGGCATTCTCGCCTTCGATTCGGCCATGCGGCAGGCAAGCAGGGGGCGGCGGATCTATTGGTTTTCGGCCCATCCAGCCACTGGGCTTGGGCTGTAGTTCGGAGGCCTGCCGGTGCGCGCGCGCTGCTCCAAACAACCGAAGAATCGTACGGGAAGCGCCGGGGCACCGCGGGGGGCACGCCGGGAACCCCGGAGATTCAAGATTTCGGGATCCGGACCCCCTGTCGCACACCCTGAAGATGAAGGGCGAGTGCGAACCCCAAACAACCAGAGCACGGCTGGGCCTAAACGCTGTGTTGCTTGACTTCGGCTGTGATGTTTCTGTTTATGTGTTGCAGGGAGGTACAGGACAACAGGCATAGCAAAACAAACATGACGCTACCGAGGAACCCCACATACTTATATTATGGCTGGAGTGATGATAGCTGAAGTGAAGCATGTGAGAATGATGTTGGTGGCCATTCCCTGAGCACCCCCTATGATGTCGAGAAAGTGCCACGCCTGTTGCGCCCTGGACCACCGGCTCGGATAGCGGTCGCGCTCAGAGACCACCACCTGCGGACCCCCTAAGGTTACGAGAATATTCCACGCCTGCTCCGCCAGCGTTCCCCTGTGCTCTGAGCACGACCGGCACGGATAGCAAACTTGCGTACCGACGTGCCCTGAGCACCACCGTCACGGATAGAGGCTGCGCTCAAGGACCACCCCTTGCGCACCCTTTGCGGTGTCGAGAATATGCAGTGCCTGCTATGCCCTGGACAACCGTCACGGACAGCAGCGCCCTGGATGCATGGCACGGATAGCGAGCGCGCTCAGGGACCATCCCCTGCGCACCCCGTATGGTGTCGAGAAAGTGCCACTCCTGCTATGCCGTGGACGACCAGCACGGATAGCGGCCGCGCTCAGGGACCAACCCCTGCGCACCCCGTATGGTGTCGGGAAAGCGCCACTCCTGCTATGCCGTGGACGACCGGCACGGAAAGCGGCCGCGCTCGGGGACCACCCCCTGCGCACTTCTGGAAGACGGGCGCGGATAGCGACAGCGCTCAGGGACCACCCCTTGCGCACCCCCTACGGTGTCGGGAAAGTGCCACTCTTGTTATGCCCTTGTACGACCGGCACGGATAGACGCCGCGTTCGGGGACCACCCCTGCACACCCCCTTTGGCGTCGAGAAAGTGCCACGCTTGCTATGCTCTGCGCCATGGCCCGAGTAGACCCCGCGCTCGGGGACCACCCCCTGCGCACCCCCTTATTGCGTCGAGAAAGTGCCACGCCTGTTATGCTCTGCGCCATGGCCCACATAGACGCCGCGCTCGGGGACCACCCCCTGCGCACCCCCTATGGTGTCGAGAAAGTGCCACGCCTGCTATGCCCTGCGCCATGGCCCGCATAGACGCCGCGCTCGGGGACCACCCCCTGCGCACCCCCTACGGTGTCGAGAACGTGCCACGCCTGCTATGCCCTGCGCCATGGTTCGCGTAGACGCCGCGCTCGGGGACCACCCCCTGCGCACCCCCTCATTGTGCCGAGAAAATGTCACGCCTGCTATGCCATGCGCCATGGCCCGCAGAGGCGACGCGCCCGGGGACCACCCCCTGCGCACCCCTTTTATGATGTCGAGAAATCGCCACGCCTGCTATGCCCTGCGCCATGGCCCGCATAGACGCCGCGCTCGGGGACCACCCCTTGCGCACCCCCTACGGTGTCGAGAAAGTACCACGCCTGCTATGCCCTGCGCCATTGTCCGAGTAGACGACGCTCTCGGGGACCACCCCCTGCGCACCCCCTTTATGGTGTCGAGAAAGCGCCACGCCTGCTATGCCCTGCGCCATGGCCCGCATAGACGCCGCGCTGGGGGACCACCCCCTGCGCACCCCCGATGGTGTCGATAAATCGCCACGCCTGCTATGCCCTGCGCCATGGCCCGCATAGACGCCGCGCTCGGGGACCACCCCCTGAGCACCCCCTTTATGGTGTCGAGAAAGTACCACGCCTGCTATGCCCTGCGCCATTGCCCGCATAGACGCCGCGCTCGGGGACCACTTTCTGTGCACCCCCTGTGGTGTCGATAAAATGTCACGCGTGTTATGCCCTGCGCCATGGCCCGCATAGACGCCGCGCTCGGGGACCACCCCACTGCGCACCCCCTTTATGGTGTCGAGAACGTCCCACGCCTGCTATGCCCTGCGCCATGGCTCGCATAGACGCCGCGCTCGGGGACCACCCCTGCGCACCCCCCTCGTGGTGTGGAGAAAATCCCACGCCTGCTATGCCTTACGCCATGGCCCGCATAGACGCCGCGCTCGGGGACCACCCCCTGCGCACCCCCCATGGTGTCGAAAAAGATCCACGCCTGCTATGCCCTGCGCCATGGCCCGCATAGACGCCGCGCTCGGGGACCACCCCCTGCGCACCCCCTATGGTGTCGAGAAAGATCCACGCCTGCTATGCCCTGCGCCGTGGCCCGCATAGACGCCGCGCTCGGGGACCACCCCTTGCGCACCCCCTATGGTGTCGAGAAAGTGCCAAGCCTGCCGTGCACTACGACTGCTACACGCACGTCTTGTATATGGCATGTCATGTGTATGTGGATGATGCGTGTGCGGCCGTATCGGGACGTGTGCCCCACGTGTGTACCCAGTATGTAGCGCATACTCGTGCGGCCGTATCGGATTGTGTGCCTCATGTGTGTGTGCCCAGTATGTACGCATACATCGTGTGTGTGTGTGTGTTGTGTGTGTCTCTGTGTGTGTGCGTGAAGAGAGGGAGAAAGAGAAGCAGACGGGTGGAAGACGCGGGTGCGACGCGGCAGAGAAGAAAACCATAACCCCTACGAAACATGTGGGGAACAAAACGATGACAAAACGAGCAGCAAATCTTTAGGTCCAGCCCTAGAATCAAGACCCCCCTCCCCGTCCTCTTCTGGGTGGGAAACATCGCTCACGGCGGCGAAAGATCTCTAATTATTCTTCCCTGGGACAGTTGTCGTGGTTGGTCGTCGTCGTCGGCAGTCGGCCGTCGGCCGTCGCCCGTCGTTGTTCGTCGTCGTCGGTTCGCCGTCGCGTTTTTTTTCCGCCGGACGTCGCCGGTGATCCTGGACCACCGAAGCATCTTCGTCGGCTCTTCGCCCCAGAGAAGTGCCAGGGGCCCGAGGGCGCTGCAGCCTCGCGGACTTCGCGCTGCAAGGGGCCCGAGGGGCACTGCAGCCCGTGCCCCGCGGCACGGCGGCGGCGATCCCAGGGCGTCTGGGGCCGCGCGCACGGCGAGCCCACCGCTCTCTGGCGGGGGGCCCCCCCGCGGAGGTGGTTGGGCTTCCGTCGACCGCGGGCGCCCGCCGCCCGTCTTCGTCGCCGCCGCCGCCGAGCGCCGGTCGTCGACCGTCATCGGACGTCGGTCGTTGCCGTCGTTGCCGCTGGTTGGCTTCGTCGATCGTCGCCGTCGATGGTCGGCGCCGTCGATCGTCGTCCGCGTTCAGATTTCGCCGTCGATCTTCGTCGTCGACGTCGGTCGTCGGTCGTCGTCGATCGTCGTTCGTCGTTGTCGTCGACGGCAGTCGATCGTTGGTCGTCGTCGTTGAGCGTCGGCGCCCGCAGCGCAGCGGTCGATGCGGGTCTCGCAGCTCGACGCCGTGCGCGATGCCGACGAAGCCGGCGAAGCCGGCGCGGCGTCCGAGCGGTGGCGGCCAGCGCCCAGCGCCGAACCCTCGGGGGGGAGGGCGGCATGCAGGGAGGGGGTGGAGGAGGAGGAGGAGGAGGAGGAGGAGGAGAAGGCAGAGGAGGAGGAGGAGCAGGAGGAGGAGGAGGTAGAGGAGGAGCAGGAGGAGGAGGAGGAGGTGGTACGAAAACTGTCGGGAGCCTTGAGACGGGGGTCGATGCAAACGGTGGTCCGCCAGAGCGCCGGATCTTGCAGGATCTTGCAAAGCCAGGATTGCATTGACCCAGGCTGGCGCGCAGGATCCTTGTAGGATGTTTCAGGATCTTACAGAGCCTGCCTGACTGACCGGGATCTGCATTGACCTGGGTCAGTGAAAGCCCGAACCTGTCAGCAGTTCTTGTCCATGTTGGACAGGGTTTGCTATCCGTGCTGCCGCAGGCGTTTTCCATTTGAGGCAGGTAGTCGCCACTGCCCGTCAGCGGCCGCTGTCGGTTTTGGGCATCGTGCCCGCTGTTTCCGCAGCCATTTCGGACGTCCAAAGCAGGGAAGGGGTCCTGGATTGTCGGATAGGTATAGATGCAGGTTTTGGGTCGGTGGATTAGCTTTCTGCGCGGATCCCCCAATTGTCAAAGATAAGGATTCTTGGATGCCGTTCGTTGAACTACTTCAGCCGCGATGCGAGGCGGGCGATCGCGCTTGCCTGTCGGATTTGTGGGAGCCTCGGTGTCGCTAGCAAGAGGTGGTCTTGGATCAAGGCCGCGGCCTCGCGACCGTTTGGATGTACTCCAGATTGGCGGCGCCCCCGAGGGGGTGGTGCGCGGGGCTCGTGCTTCGAAGAAGGCGGCCGAGCCTCCACGAAGGAAACGAATCGAGGAAGCAAACGAATCGAGGAAGAAGCAAACGAGGAGCAAACGAATCGAGGAAGCCAACGAGGAAGAAGCAAACGAATCCAAGGGGGGGGCTGCTTAGAAGCAAACGAATCGAGGAAGAGCGAGCTGCACAAAAGCCGCGAGCTGCCCGAGGTCCGGCGGACGTCTCGGGTCGCCGCTGGGCCCCTCCCGCCGGCGCCTCTGGCGCCGCCATCCGGCGCGCTCTCCGGGCGCCAGGGGAGTGGGGCCCTCCTCCTCCTCTTCTTCCTCCTCCTCCTCTTCCTCCTCCTCCTCCTCCTCTCCTCCTCCTCCTCGTGCCGGGGGAGGGGGGGCTGCACCTCCCCCCCCTCACAAGCTGGTGCTCGCGCGCACACTGCGGCGATCCAGAACAGCCGGGCGAACCTCCAGCAGTTCAAGTTTTTTTTTAGGTCGGGCGAGTCCCTCTACAGGAGGGAGATCCAAGAATAGTCGAAGCACAGTCTGGGGACGATTTGTTTTACCATCTCGACCATTTGGGGGAATTGTTTGGGTATTTTATCAGTCGTCCAAAATCCAGCTGTAGGGGGACATGCCCGACCTAACGTTACTTGAGCAGGGACCGACCGTTTCTTACAATAGAAACAGCGTTCTCAGAACATGAACCCGATGTGTTAAAACAAGACAGACTCGGCCAGGCATGTTTTAATAACATTTCGTGCAAACCACAAACGGTTCTTTAAACTTATAACATTAGTTGGTGGGCCTATAGGCGAGCCAGGACGCTTCGCCATTGCTTGATTTACGCAGGTTCTTTTGTTTCCAGCGAGGGAAGAGTTCGGATGCAACTCCTGGGAGGTCAAATTCTGATTTTGCCCTGGTCCGAAATCCGGCTTAATGTGGCTTAATATCGCCTAATCCGGCTCAATCCCGCTCAATCCCGCTCAGTCCGGCTTAATCCCGCTTAATCCGAGGCCGACTCCGGCGTAACAGCCCCCCAGTTGGGCTTCATCCTCCTTAATCCTTCCGACGAAGACCTCCCAGTAGTTGCCTCCGAAGCAGAGGTCTGGGAGGTCAGGCTTGAAGGGTGGAGGGACGTCCTCTGGCATGCCTGGGCTTCCGGGAGGCTCCCCGTCGCCCCGGCCGCATCCGCCCTGGAGTTTTGGCCAGAGCGCACTGGTCGGGGGAGTGGCTGCGGGCCCCGCACGCGAAGGAGGCGGGTCCTGGAGGCCAAACTCTGGAAGTGTGTTCTCCTCGTTCGGGCTCTCAGGGTCCTCGCTGGACCGAGGGGCCGTCAAGAGCGGCTCGGTGTGAAGAGTTGGTAATTGGGAGGGACAGCCCGGGGCTCCGTGACCTTTCTCTCCTCCAGGACTGAGCGCCCGGAACTGGGACGGCGAGGCCTCCGCGTCCTTCTCGCTTGGCCTCCGCGTAGGGGCTCGTCACCACGGGTGGACGCAGTTCGGAGCGGGGGTCGGGATTGATTCAGAGAGCGAGAGTGGTTTGGGAACCGATTTGGACCAGATTTTGCCTGGACCTTGGCGACTGAACTTGCGCTGGAGGTTTTCGTATGTCTTGGCGTTTGACAGTTGGTTCTGGCACCCTTGACCGTCAAAGATGAGTCAGAATGATAAGATGGTCTCAAGATAGGATCTCCAGGGGCCAGCGACTCGAACAACTTAGTCGACGGATGTCCAGACTGGGAAAGGCCACACGGAGACGAGGACCATCGGCATTTCCTGTCCTCCAGCGTCTTAACATGGCCACATGCGGCCCTTGCTTGAAACCAAAGTCTCGATGGCGACGGACAGGGCGTAGCCTAGGGGAGGAGGGGGAGGAGGAGAAGGACGAGGGATGAAGGTGGAGGAGGAGGAGAGAGGAGAAAGGACGAATTGGCGGGTCAAAGGAGGGAGGAGGACGAGGAGGGAGGAGGGAGGAGGACGCTGACGACGACCACGACGATGACGACCCGAGAGGCAGGAGGGGTAGACTCGACCCGAGACGCCCAGTGCCCCCGCGCGGGGCCAGTGGACTACGGCGGCTACCACGCTGGACAGGGGGGCGACGTGGAACCCTTGGGGAGGCTCGCGGGGCGCCAGGGTCGTCCTGCTGCTCCTCCATCCTGGCCCCCACCCCTCACCTCCAGCCTCCCACACCATCCTCTTCCACCCTCACCCCACCCATACTCCCACCCTCTCTATCCTCCCACCTGCCACGTACTCCTCTTCCACCTGCTCTTCCATCCTCCCACCTCCCCCCCTCCTCCGTCCCCTCTCTGTTGTCGAAGACGCCTACGGCGAATCACCGCCGCCCCCTGCCTTTCTGGAAGGGCCTGTGTGGCAAGTTGGCTAAAGCTATCGGACCTTGTGTTCCCCCAGCTGTCGTTGAACCCCTTCGGTGAACACGTGAAGAAGAGGAGGATGAGGAGAAGAAGGAAAAGGGAGTAGGCGCAGGAAGAGGAGGAGAAGGAGGAGGACGCCTCTTGGGGCACTCTTGGGGGCTTCTCTCGGGGCCTCTTCGGGGCTTCTGGGGGCCTGACTTGGGCCTCTTGGGGGCCTACCGTCTTGGACGCTGTGAAAGCCCGAGACGCGAATATCTTGAACCTAGGGAAGTTTTGTGCCTCTTTGGGTCCTCTTACGGGTGGTCTTGGGGCTCTCTTGGGGCATTTTGTGGGCCCTTTGGGCAATCTTGGCCATTTTTACGCTGTCTTGCACCGCCCAGGGGCCCTTCTTGGCCATCTGAAGTGATCCTTGAAACATTCCTGAGGGTTTCCGGGGGCTTCCAAGAGCTCCCAAGGTCTGGGGAGTTTCCAAGAGCACCCAGCAGGAGTTCCCGAGAGCGGTTGGAAAACCAGGGGCCCGGGCTCGCAAGAATGTTGCAACCATCATGGGTTGCATGAGTTTTCGGACGACGCGCTGAGGGCACGGTGGCGGCGTGTCCACCCCAGCCGTGAACAGCTCGAGGGTCCCGCAGAGGCCCCAGCAGGAGGAGGCAGGCGAGAGGAGCGAGGAGCAAAAAGCGAGGACACGCGGGAGAGACTCGAGGATCAGCGGGGCACGATCTCCTGTATGTGCACTCGGGTGCTATCTACCAGGGTCGGCCAGAGGGGGATACGCCCGGAGGGTTGGCCGGACTCGTGGGCTTTTTGGCCGGGAGCGTTGGCCGGGCCCCTCGCTGCAGAGGAAGCCTGCGCCATCTTCCGTCGGCTCCTCCTCCCTCCCTCCTTCGGGCCAGGAGAGCTATGCACATGCACCGACCTTGACAGCGTCCATCCTTGACCCAGGATCTGTACATATGCCTTCCTGGCCAAGGTAGGAGGGCATATGCACCGATCCTGGGCTCAGGATGGGCCTGGCCAGAATCGGTATATTTGCATAGTTCTCTTTCCTCTACTCCTGGGGCTCCTTCGCTCGTCGCTCCACAGCTTGGCACACCTGGAGGTGCCACCCCGGGATCGGGCCCGGCCGAAAGGGGGGGGATTGGGAAAGGGGGGGGCTTCGAAATAATCTGCCGCAGGCAGTTGGAATGGGCCCCGCGGAGGGGCCCATTCCTCTATACACGGCCGCCTCCCGGCGCCAGGAGGCGCCGGGAAAATCAGCCACGCAAGCTGATTCTCACCCCCCCCCTGTGCTATCCCGCAACACGTCTTCTGAGGGCCCCGGCCCCCCCGCGCTGCCCTCGTAGGGCCGGTCCCGCTGGACCGACATCGCGCGCTCGTCTCGTCTCGTCTCGTCTGTGCTATCCCCCCCCTTCGCCCGGCCCGACACGACCTTCGTGCTCGCCCGGCGTTGCCGGAGCTGCTGCCAGAAGTCGCTCGCCCCCGGCATGCCGCCTCGCTCCGGGCCCAACGCTGCGCTGCCAGCACCGCTGCGGAGAGCTCGAGCACCGCGAGCGTGCCGGCTCGCCCTCGGCGCACTTTATCGCACGGCCGGCGCCGCCGGCAGGAAGGTCACTCTGACCGTTCCGGCACGCTCCGGTTGTGCCTCGTTCGGGTATATCGGGGGCGGCAAAGAGGGGGGGTCCAGCGCATTTTCTTTTGCGGCGTTGGGCGCCCTGGCGCGGACGGCCGAACGACCCCTGCAGCGGGACACCCTGCCCACACGGTCGGCGCCGCAAAAACTGCGCGTTCAACGCGAGCGCCGCGCAAAGGACGCACCGAAAGGCGCCGCGCACGGTCGCGCGCGCCGCAGGGACTCTGAAAGTGCCTTCGGGGCGGCTCAGGGGTGACCAAAAAATGGTGATGACTAGGGGGGGGTGGATCTCATGGCGTGGGCCATGATACCTCCCCAGATTTCATGGCGCCTCTTCTTGTTTCATGACGTCCCTGGCTCCCCCGCTGGGCCGCGCACGTGCCGCCGGTCATGATTTGCACCCCCCCCTCTCTTGGACACCCCCCTCTTGGCCGCTCCCGAGTATAGCCAGGACCCCAGGTAAGGGGACCCGGTTAGTGGTAGGGCCCCAGAGGCCCTAAACTGGCCAGAACCCTAAGCCAGGTCTGACGTAGCTGGTGTTTTTTCGGGTGACGGCAGTTCCAGTTAGTGGAACGGGGCTTGAACGGGGCTTGGGGGGCCCCGTTCAAACCAGGTCCCACTAAACCCAGTTCTGCCAACGCCCGAATCGTTTTGCCAGCACTGCCGTCAAGAGGTGCACTCCAAGCGTGACCAGTCTCTTCAGGTGAGCTTCGCTTTGCGAGCTTCGTTGACAGTGTCTTCCCATGAAGTTCACTCCGAGAGTGGGCTCGCGTCCGACAGCAGGTGGATTTCGGAGCGAACTTGGCGGGAAGTCCAGTCCGTGCGTGCCGGTTCGCGTCTGGCGCGCTTCGATCAGCCAGCGTTCTTGCCAGGGTTCTCGTTCCGAGCGTGCCAGAGGTGCCGTTGCCGCTGCGCTGAAAGTCTCTTCGTTCTCGTCGTGATCTTCCTGCCGTTGTGCTCGCTCCTCCTCCTCCTCCTCCTCCTCCTCTTCGTCGTCCCGTTCCGTAGCCATTTTGGCTCAAGACTAAATGCTTGGGAGGCCTTCCGCCTCCAGGCTTGCACGGATACCGCTGTCACCGCGGCCAGAAGATACAAGCTTTCTTTCCGACGGTTGGTCCGCCCCAGCCGATCGGCTGCCTCCTGCGGCCCCGCAGGTGAGCAGGTGCTCTCGTGGCCCCACAACGTCGCTGCGATGGGGCCGCGCGAGGACTCCGCGTGCTGGTGGTATTGCAAGAGTTGTAAGAATGATCGCACGGGTAAGCAGTGGTGGAACATGGCGCATGCGAAGAAGTGTGTGATGTGCGGCTTGGCGAAAGGAGTCACGTTCGGGGGCAACGTTCAGCCCGCGGAGCCTTCAGTCCGCGCCAAGTCCAAGATGCCGCCGTGGAAGTACCCGTCTGCTGAGGCGGCAGGGCAGGCGAAGATCCGCGAGCTGGAGGCGAAGATCAAGGAGCTTCAGGCTGAGTCTAAACGTGGGCTCTTCGGGGGCCACATGCAGGTCGACGCTGGCGAAAAGGATGATGAGGCTGACATTCGCAGAAGGCCCAAGGAGATCGATGAGCAGCTGGCGTTTGTGTCCAAGTACAGCAATGAGTCGAAGGCGGGCGCATATGTGGAGTCGTTACGGGTCGAGAAGGAGCGTTTGCACAGCACGCTTCAGGAGTCTCGCCCCATGTTTGCGAAGTTGCAGACCATGTCTAATCGGCTCAAGACGGCGGAGAAGCGGGCGGAAGCTTCGAGAGAGTTGGTGGCTGAGAGGAAATTTCAACTTGGCGAGATGCAGAAGAGTCTGGAGCAGGCCGAGAAGAATCTCACAGAGCAGGAGAAGGAGGTGGTGTCGCTCAGCGCGCAGGTGCAGGAGCTCACGAAGCAGGCGCCAATGGCTCCTGAGTCGGCATCACTCGAAGAGAAGGGCAAGGGCATGGCCATGGACGTTGGTGCCTTGGGCAAGATGCTTGAGGCGCAGGGTCTCGGCTCCGAGCAGGCGGAGGGCTTGGCGCAGGTGCTTGCGGACAGTATGTGTAAGCTCTGGGTCAGGCAAGAGGCTGATGAGTCGAAGCGAGACGGACAGGCTGTACTGTCGCCCCAAGCTCCTCGCACGCCGAAAGGCGAAGCAGGCGGTCCCTCGCCTGGCACGCCGAGTGCCGAGGCAGGGGGCGGAGCGCCCGCCGCTGCAGCAGCAGGAGGCGCCAAGCCCAAGTCTTTGGACCAGGTGATTGCAGATGCCCAGGAAGAGGAGCTGCGGGAGTCGTTGGAGGCGCTTTACCCATCCGAGTTGGCGGACCATGTTCCCAAGGACCTTGAGGGCCTTCGGGCGGCTGCTGCTCGTTTGGCGGCTTTGCCTCTCTTCAATCAATGTGGACAGCGGCTGGCAGTCGTGCATGCACCTTATTGAGATGCCGCGTAATGGTGTTCCTTGTACGCTTTGCCGCAGCAGCAGGTTGTGGCAGACTCCTGTCTGGACGCTGATGATTGCCAGCGGGATTTTCAGCAGTCAGACGACGTTGGCTTCGACCAGGACGAGTTCTTCGGTATCACCGAGAGTTCGACGGCGGCGTTGACCTCTTCTTCGGCCACGTGTGGGTCTACTGGGGCCAGCACCGCTCTGGCGTCTGGTCAGCAGCCTTATACTGACCTCAGGTTGAAGGGAGTGATCACGTCTGCCAATGTGGAGGGTGCAGGACCTTTCAAAATGTTTATGGAGACGTGCAGGTCCAAGATCGTGGTGATTCAGGAGCATCGCACGTTAGCCAAGCATCTTCCATCGTTGCAGGCTCGCATTCGTGATCTGGGCTTCCATGGTTTCTTTGGTGGGGCTGTGGAGACAGGCGCTACGGGGCGTTCTGGTGGAGTAGCCATCCTGGCTCCGACGCATATCGTGGTGAAGGCGCCTCCTGAGCTCCCTGGGCATGAGTTGGAGCCTGGTCGTATTGCTGTTGCTGATGTCTCCTGGATGGTACCAGGAGGGGTTGTTATTATTGCTGTGTATCTTATCTCTGGTGAGGGAATGAGTGCAGCAAATGAGGCATTACTCTTGAAGATTGCGAGATACCTTGCAGTTTTGAATGCGATAGGGCGCGACTGGATTGTCATGGGAGATTGGAACTTCACGCCTGATTTGCTTTCTTCAGGATGGTTGGCAGGCGTGAACGGCTTTGTTGCAGCACCTTCGAGGCCCACGTGTTTGTTGGAGCAGCCTGGCAGTATCATTGATTACGCTCTGGTTTGTGCCAACTTGGGTACTCGTGTTCTTCGGCCTCAGGTGGTTGACGACAGTTATATCAAAGTTCATTTACCTGTGGAGTTGCCCGTGTTAGCTGATGACAGGCCAGCATGGGTTCGACCGGTTGTGGAGCCAGCTCCCTTCTCCCAGACGCCGCCTATTGGGTGTCAGAGATTTCCATTGGATTGGAGTGAGGTTGAACGGCAGGTTTTTTATTTTCAAACCAGCGAAGACTTGAGCTTGGCTTGGGACGAGTTGCTGGCTGGCATGGAATTTGAATTGCAGGGCGTCTATGATTGCGTAGATGGGGTGAAGGCTTCGTCGACGTCTGGACGTGGTGGCCCTTTACTTACCAAGATGGCACTGGCCAAGTGGCGACCTCCTCTTCGACGGTTGCAGCATGGCCCTGAGCTAAGGGCTTGGATGGTTGCTCTAAAGTGGGTTGTCCATTGCAGGAGGGTAAAGGAGCACGTTGCCAAGTTGGTAGACAAGCTTCTTATTTGGCAGGACGGGAATAGAATTGTGAACGTTCTGGCTGATCATTCCGCGCTGGCGAAGGTGCTGGTGGAATTCGCTCGTTTTATGCATGGTGTTCGTGGTTGTGCTGGCACGTTGTAAGCCCTACCTGCATGGGTTTCTGAATTCTGTTTGCCGTCATCTTGCTTTGATCTATTGGCGCGCGATGATTTTGACCAGGTGTTTGCCAACATCCAAGGTGCTCACGATCGCCTGCTGTCTGCCCATGAGAAGCGTGATCGGGCCCGATGGAAGAGGTTCGTGGATTCAGCCTTTGAGAAAGGTGCTAGTGGCGCGCATCGTTTTGCTAGGTTACAGGCAGCCCAGGAGATCATTGAGGCAGGCAGTGAGCAGTCACCACGCGAGCTGGCTGATCGTGAAATGCGGAAGTGGTTGAAGGTGTGGACTGTGCATGAGGATTGCGAGATACAGTTGCCGACTGATAGAGCCAGTTGGCCTTCTCTGCCTTACATCACCACGGATATGTTGGTGCAGGCTATCCTATCTTTCAAGTGGAAGACGGCAGCGGGCCCGTCGAAGCTGCAGCCCAGATCGTTGTGGTTCTTATCGCGTGATGCTTTGGGGGCCATGGCCGCTTTCTTCATGAAGTGCGAGGACTTGCTTCTCTGGCCAGTGAATCGTATCCACTCCGAGATGGCTATGATTCCAAAGGAAGGAGGAGGTACTCGACTGGTGGCTCTCATTCACACGCTGATACGGGTCTGGGCGAGAGTCCGACGACCGCTTTCACGGCAATGGTTGCAGCAGTTCCCCTCGGAGATGATCTGGGGCAACAGGAAGGGGTTATCGTCGTCGGGTTCGGCCTTCATGCATAACGCGATGGCGGAGATGTCTAAGCTGCTGGGCGAGCACTCGCTCACGGTGATGATGGACATGTGGAAGTGTTTCGACACGGTCAAGGTCAGCAGTCTATTTTGTGAGGCTCGGAAAGTCGGATACCCTTTGCGACTACTGTGGCAGTTGGTGACTTCTTACAAGACGCCTCGGGCGGTGAAGGCGTTTGGGTCGGTGTCTGTCTTACACGAGGGGGGGCAAGGTATCCTGCCTGGATGCACTCACGCCACGACCTTGCTGACGGTGTTGATGGTTCGTACGTTGATTAGTGTGAAGGAGATTTGTCCGACGATTCACCCTCGGGCTCTAGTGGATGATGGAACCCTGCAGTGGGTGGGGCAGGACTTGCAAGACACGGGCGAGCTGGTCAAGGCTACTCGCATGTTCAAGAGTGGTATGAGAAGGCTTGGCCTGCTGGTTCAGCCCGTCAAGTCGGGCTATGTGGGCACCACCCGTGAGGCGCTCAAGAAGTTTTCTCCGCGGGCCAAAGTGCTGAGGCTCACTCAGAGGAAGCAGATGCGTAGCTTGGGACATGATATGGTTGGTGGCCGTGTGATTCGCACGGTTGCGAAGGGACGTCTGGATAAGATGCAGAAACGAATGGGGCGTGTCAAGGTGCTCCAAAAGGCTGCTGGTTCCAAAGTGGGGGCCATCTGGCGTACTGGGTTGCTGGCAGGAGCTGCACACGACAGCTCGGTCTCGGGCGTTCCCGACGGCGACCTGAGGCAGCTCAGGCAGACGGCTGGAGTCATCGCTGGGGTTCACGCCAAAGGGGTCAGCGTCACGGCCGACTTCGTGTCTCAGCGGGACCCGTACATGGACCCGATCTTCGACGCGACGCTCAATATGGTGTATACGTACAGTTGTTTCGTGTTCGACATGAGGATGGACATGGGCAAGCTCGAGAGGGCATGGCGTGTACTCCTAGACCTGTGGCAGGGGCGTGCTCCAGGCTGGCAGGGGGTTCGAGGACCGATAGCTGCGACCTGGCTGTCTTTGCGAGGAGTAGGCTGGGAGATGGCTAGTAGCACGCTGATTGTCAGTGACACGGGCACGGTGATTTCGCTGTTAAAGACGCCTCCCAAAGATGTTCGAAAGTTGTTGCGCCTCGGAGTTCAACGGTGGCAAGGTCGGAGGATTCTGGAGCATCATGCCGAACACTTGGAGGGTGGCGAGTCGCTGTGGATGAGAGCGGTGCACCTCACCGTTGGTGGTAAGGCAGCCACTATCAAGAATGCACAGGTTGCGGGAGCTCTTCGTTGCCTGTGGGCTGGTGGCTTCATGACGGTGCAGAAGCGGCATCAACGTGGATGGTTGCCTACGCCACACTGCCCACATCCCGAATGTCGCAGACAACGTGCTGTCGGGGACCTTGGTCATCTGTGGTACGCATGCCCGAATTTGCTTGAGCAGAATGATGCTGGCGGTCTGCCAGCCTGGTCCGAGGAGATGGAAAAAACGCGTGATCGTCTGTCTGAGGAGGGAGTCAATGTCTTGGGACAGGACAGCTTTCACCTGCTGAAGTTTTGTATTGGGCTCCCCCAGGCTCCTCCTGATCTCCCCCCTCCGTCCTCTGTGCCTCCCACCTTCTTCTGTGGGGACTGGGGGTCGAAGCCTGAGGGATGGGGCCCAACTGCCTTCTTTGATGGTTCTGGGATGCACAGCGCCTGGCCAGAATTCAGGCGTTGCGGATGGTCGGCTGTTCAGATGGGAGAGTTTGGACTCCCAGTTCGCGCGGCCTATGGTCCGCTCCCAGGCCCCATCCAGTCGGTTGGCCGAGCTGAAAGACACGCGCTCTTGCGGGGGCTCCAGTTGTTGCCGCGTTTAGTGCTGTCTGTCTCGGACCTCCTTGGGGCTGTGCGTGAGGGGGTTGAATGGTCTTCTGAGCATGCGTCTGCCACGGCCGCCCATGCTGACATCTGGAGGCAAATTTTTAGAGTCGCTCAGGGAAGGGATCACCCGAAGGCTCCCATGTATGAGTGGGTGCCTGCTCATCTCTCTCTTGAGGAGTTTCTCGAGCGGGGACAATGGCCCGCGTCTTGGTGGCTTGGCAACATGTGGGCGGACTTGATCGCCAAGTTGGGGGCCTGCTCGCATAAGGTCGCTGATGCCTTCGTTGATTACTGGCCTGATCAGCTTGCTATTGGCAGGAACAACGCCAGTTTTTTTGGATGGGCTGCGGCCCAGCATGCTGCGCATAAGGAGGTCGTGGGTGGACAGCTGGAGGCCCTTCAGGAGATGGACATCCCTAGGCCACGGTTCCTCCGCGCGCCCCCCCTCCTCCGTTTCCAGGAGCATGAATTATGGTGTGTCGGTGAGTTCCTGGTCTGTCGCTCATGCCTGGCCAGGGCGAAAACGGAGGCCTCGCGTAAATGGCTCACTCAAGGCAGTGGGCGAGAATGTAACCCCTCCCCTTTGCAGCGTGAGCGTGCCCGCCTTGCGTTCTCCAAAGGTGGATTGTATGCCGCTGCGACCCCCCTTGCCAGGCCAGAGGCGGTCCAGTCCGCGATGTCTGGTGCTCGTGTGGTCCTGGGGCCCCAGGTTCCTGGGGCCGAGCCTGCGTCTGGCTCTGTTGGGCCTGGGTCTGGATCGGTCTCGGAGCCCAGGCCTGGGGGGGTGGGGGTTGGGGAGTGTGAGTTTCAGATTTTCACCTCTCTTGGGCACGTGATGGAGCGTGCTGGCCCATATATCTTCTGCACGGCGTGCGGGTCGTATTGTGCTCAGAGGTTGGGGCCAAAGCTACGTTCGGTGTGTAAGCCCCCGAGCTCGGGTGTGCTGCCTGGCTGGGTGAGGAAGTCCTCTGGCGAATATCCGCGAGGGCCTGCACCCGAAGTCTGGTTTGAATCTCTCTGGGGATGTCCCCCAGGTAGTTTTGTTGGCCCCGTCCCCCCCGTCGTCGTCGGGTCGCCTTCCCCCCCGCCGCGTGCGTCTTCTTTTACGGCGCGCTGACGGTGCTGGAGGTCCAGGCACCGACGCGCGGTCGGGTGGGTGGATGGGGTCTCTCTCTCTCTCTCTCTCTCTCTCTCTCTCTCTCTCTCTCTCTCTCTCTCTCTCTCTCTCTCTCTCTCTTTATTACAGGGCGCTTGCGGGTAACTTGATGGCGTCTCTATGTCTTGCATCTCTCGCATCTTCGTCGTCCCGTTCAGGGTTTTGGCCCAGACGGACCAGTGCGCCGAGGGGCTCTAAGTCGCATTCCCCAGCCCTCCTGCATTCCGGCGCGCCACGCGCGCGCTTCGTGGCCCCATGGGGAGCCTCCGCCGAGGGCCCCGGTGGCCAAGTCAGCATGGCGGCCTCGCCCTTCTTATGCACACCTCTCGCACGCTCCGTGGCCCAACAGGGGGCTCCACCGAAGGCCTCAGTGGCAGAGAACCCCAGCCCCACTTCGGCACGCCCCTCGCACGCTTCCTGGCCCCGCAGGGGGGGCTCCACCGAAGGCGCGAGTGGCAAGCCCCGCACGGCGGCCCCGCCCAGTTTCGGCACACCCCTCACACGTCTCGTGGCCCCATAGGGAGTCCCACCACAGGAACCAGTGGCAAACTTCGCTTGGCGGCCCCGCCCCATGCCGGTCACCCCTCACACGTCTCGTGGCCCCGTGCGGGGCTACACCGAGGGCCCCAGTGGCGAAAGTCGTCACAGCGGCCCCGCCCTATTCCGGCACAATCCTTATACGCTTCGCGGCCCCACGGAGCTCTACCGAAGGCCCCAGTGGCAAAGTTCGCATGGCAGCCCTGCGCCATTTCGGCACACCGCTCGCACGCTTCGTGGTACCACAGGGAGCTCTACCGAATGACCCAGAGCCAGGGCCCGCAAGATCCCCAAAGAACTCATGCGAGCCCTGGCAGTTGAGCCTTGGTTGGAGTTCCCTATGGCGCCACGTAGCGTTAAAGGGGTGTGTCGAAATGAAAGGTAGGAGATCATGCGAACGCATTTGGGCCTTAGTTGGAGCTCCATCTGAGGCCACGACGCGTGTGAGTGGCGTGCCAACATGGGAGGCGGGAGTTCATGCGAACCCTAGCATGTGCGGCTTAGTTGGAGCACCTTATGGTGCCACAAAATTTGCGAGGGATGTGACAGCAGAACAGGCGGGAGCTCATGCTAACATTGGCAGTTGGGTTTTTTTGGGGGCTCCCTGTGGGGCCGCGAAACATGCGAGCTGTGCGCCGAAATGAGAGGCGGGAACTCATGTGAACTTTCGCATGTGGGCTTCAGCTGGGGCTCTTCATGGGGTTACGAAGCCCGCGAGGGGTGTGCCGAAATGGGAGGCGAGGGCTCATGTGAACTTCTGCATTTAGGCCTTCGGGCTCGCTGCGGGGCCACGAGGCGTGCGGGGTGCGTGCCATGATAAGAGCGGGAGCCCGTGCGAACTCTGACATTGCCTATTTGGTGCTCCCTACGGGGCCGCCGCGAGGCGGGTGGGGGGCGTGCCGAAATGAGAGGCGGAAACTCATGTGGTCTCACAGGGCGGAGCGAGTCGCCGCCGCCGCGCCCCCCCGCAAGAAGTTCCTGGCCGCAGCCGGCGCGCTCGCCAGTCCTGCGCGCCGCGTCGGCGGCTGGAAGAGTGGCGCTCGAGCGATGTGGCCCTGGGGACAGAGTCAGACACGCGCAGAAGGGGGGGGGCAGGGGGAGGTGGGGCGGGTTTCTTGTGGGGGGGTTCTTGTGGACGGGCCTCCACTTTGCCCCCCTCTGCGCGCCGCCAGCAGGGAAGGTCTTCGGTCAGAATTTGCATCGGTTCCGGGCACGTGAAGATTGTTTGAGATCGGCGTAAGCGCAGACGTCTCTCCACACAAGCAGCAGGATAATTTGACGGGGGAGCGTGGATAGTAAGAAAACGCCGCCGCAACAGACATCTTGAACAAGGTTTTTCAGATCAGCAAGTTGCTCGGCAACCAGCCACAAGTTTGTTTGAGCATCGGCAGGAATATCACTTCAGAGTGCAGCTAATGGAAAGAAGGGCTCACGCAAGTGGGCATCAACCAGTTCACCGCGGATGCAACGCATCAGCGCGATTTCGACGTGCACGTGGAAGTGTTGCTTCGTGATGCTTCCGATCGCGCCTTGGACGGGGCGCCGCTCGGCGTTCCTACTGTCGAACCGTTTTTGGAGCTACTTGCCAGGATATGATTGCCGATCGATCCAAGCCTTGGCCAGACGGTATCCCAGGAGTCGCCTGGAGGAATGCGCCGCACAATGCGAAAATCTAGTTGCACGATGTTTCTGTGCAGCGCTTCAAAGACATGTTCTGGTAGCAGGTGGATCCAGCATCTTGGAATACATTCGAACTTCTTGGCGCCCCAAAGCCACGAGACCCTGAGAATTACACAAGCGCTTGCGATGGTCAGGCAACATGATGGACCAATCATTCAGCTGTATTGTGCGACGGTATACGGGGCCATGGCCCCTGTGCTAGAACCGCTAACCCGAGCCAGAAGTTACGGATCTCTTAAGAATGATTCGGTGGATGATTGTTTTAGCGTGTGTTTCGACTCGTTGCGTTTTGCGGTGAAGTAGGCTGTGCAATTCTTGATGGGAGCGAGGAGGGTGGAAATTGCCTTCGGCTCCGTGGAGCGCGTTGACGCCCGGCGGGTGTTGCGGACTTCCAGAGCGACTTGGCACCAAGTGTTGGCAATCGCCCTGGAGATGAAGGCTGAATCAGTTCAGCCACATGTGGTTCGCATTACGACTGTGACTCCAACTGTTGTGGCCAAGGCGTTGAACCATTTTCGGACGGTGCGAGCCTCTTTTATTTTCCCGCATGTGGATGTGATTTTAGACGCGTTGGATTCAGAATGGAGAGATTCATGCCTCGGGTTTCTTTTTGCCCGATTCGTGAATGCAGATACCTTTTGCGGCGTGGCCACATGACGACCCCATCTTGGCGCGCAGCCTGGACGAGCATGCTTTCATGGCGGGTAGCCTCGCCCAGGCACTGGAGCACAAGTACAGCTACAGGTTGAAACCGACGTCCCTCGATATGTTGGCGGTGAGAATGGGCACTCCTGTTCTTGGACACTTTGTTTGTTCTGTGAAAAGGGATGGGCTGAAAACAGCGAAAAACATCATACGTGTTCTTGGTGGTTGTCTGTCCGCAGACAACCCAAACGAGAGTACGTGACGACCTTGTTCGACATTCAGGGATGCTTGTTTTCACAAGGTCAGCTCTGGGGCACTGGAGGCCCGACCACAAGGAACCAACCCTGAGACCCCGGGGCGCCCATTGCTTTTCGGCGTGGGGGCGCCATGCTTGCCATCGCAAAGCCATCGAAAGCCAAGAAACCCTGGGCACCCTGGAGGCAAGCAGGGTGTTTCTTGGCATGGGTCTCCACTGTAGTCCATCCCCGGAAGGATGTCTTGCGCCCCCTGCGAGCGATAGTCTTTGCTGAGCGTGTGGCGGATACGGCGCCCTGCGCTTCCATAGAACTGTTAAAACCCATTGTGGATTGCACTTGTTGAATTCGTAAGTCCAACCACGGCCGAATTGCCCACTACAAAGTCCCACTGCCGTCGCTCGCACGGGCACTCAAAGAGCACGCCCCGGCACATTGTGCCCGGCAGCGGTGCTGCCTTCAACTCTTTCTCTCTGTGCGCCGCGCCTTCTTCTGGCCGACGACCCACGACAACTGGACGTGAAATGAAGACTTCCGGCGGCCTAGGAACAGTGAGCACCGCGCGCGCGGCCGATGAAAGCCCGGATCCCCTGCTTTTTCACTCGTTGCTGCTGCTGCTGGACGCGCCCACCCTGGACCTCCTGTGAAATTCGCCCCCAGATCCTCACCATCAGGCGTCGGCGCTCACTTGCGGCCCCGGCCTCTGGTGTACTAGAAACTCGTTTTCTCGCTTCCGCTTCCGCGCAGCTATTCCCCTGATGCTCTGCCATCATGCAGCGTCACTATCTCGGCGACTGGCCGCTGCAATCCGCCCGCGCCCTTTTCCACACCAGAATCCACGACATACGCTCCTTAGAACAACCGTGCGAGTAGGCTCGGAGGAACAACAATTGTACCATCTATCTAACTTGGCAATGCTACGCTTGCAGTGTGCCTTGGTACCCACGTCCAGGAGACGTCGGATGCTTAAAACCCTTCGCAACGGACCCTTCCCCATCTAATTGCTTCAAGAGGCAGTGCGCGGCCCTGGTGGATCCAAGCGCTTATGAACAGCGCCGAGCTTCAAGCTTCAAGCGCTCTACCGACCAGGTGTCAACGGTACTCTTGGCAGGTTCTCGTCTGACCCCTCGTCGGAAGGGCGGCGCCCTCTCGGGCGAGAGCGTGCACCGCTCTGCCCAGAGCAGCCAAGCTTTTGCAAGTCTTTTTTCGGGCAGAGGCATCGCGGAGGGCGTTGGCGGAGCAGCTTGCGTGCAGCCGTCGGCGTCTCATCCGGAAGACACAAACGAAACGGCACACGAAAAGTTATCATTGTGCGTATAGGGTGAGAGCGACGTCATCGTTTGAAGTGGAGCCGTTGGCAGTAGAGACCGCGTCGAGCGTGGCACACGCTGTTTCCTGATCGCGGGCGCTCGCAGCGAAAAGAGGGGGGGAGGAGGGGGTGGGGGCAAGAGCAGGAAGGCTCAGGAGGACGACGACGAACAATAGCAACTCCAGGAGGGCCCTCCAGCGCGCCGCTGCCGCCGCTTTCCCGAGAGGGAGAAAGAGAAACAGAGAGAAACAAACAAACAAAACATATATAAACATAAACATCAGATATATAAACATAAACATCAGAGAGGGAGAGAGAGAGAGAGAGATCGGCGGCGAAATCCGAACCCAACTCTCGCCGATCAGCGATTCAGGCACCTCGATGGGCGGCGGGGGTCGGGTTCGGAATTCGTGGGACTCGTGGCGAAATCCGAACCCCCCCCGCCTCCCATCGATTCAGCAGAATCGATGGTTGGCGGGTGTACATTCGGATGTCGCCAGCTTAGGAGGAGGAGGAGGAGGAGAAGGAGGAAGAGGAGGAGGAGGAGGAGGAGGAGGAGGAGGGGGAGGAGGAGGAGGGGGAGAAGGGAGGAGGAGGAGGAGGAGGAAGAGGAGAAGCGAGGCTGGACTTCGGCGACGAGAGATACGACTGGAGCCAGCTCGCGCCCGAGTGGACCACCAGCGTGGAGAGGCGGGGACCGGGGGGTGCCAGCTGGCCCTGGCAACGCAGATGCGCCCCCGGGGGCGCCAAGGAGGCCCAAGAAGCCTCGGCCTTCGATCCTCGAAGCTTCTATCCTCGAAGCTCGATCTTCGATCCTCGAAGCTTCGATCCTCGAAGCTCGAAGCTTCGATCCTCGAAACTCGATCTTCGATCCTCGAAACTCGATCTTCGATCCTCGAAGCTCGATGCCCTCCCCGAGGCCCGCCGATCGGTGCGCCCCGCGGCTGCGAGCCCCGCAGCGGGGAGCTGTCTGGTATTTCTGCCGACTGCTGGCGGTCTCCAGGCTCCGGGGCTGTTCAGGCACAGCTCGGGATGAAAGGCTGGCCGCGGGGCCGGGGATGATGGGCCTGGTTTCCACCACCACCGCCAGAAGTTGTAGGGGGGAAGGAGGAGGACGACGAGGAGGAGGACGAGGAGGAGGAGGAAAATGAGGTGGAGGAGGGGGAGGAGAAAGAGGACCCCCTCCCCCTCCAACTTATGGTGGTGGTGGTGGAAAACGGGCCCATCCGGGGAAGGGGTCGAGGATCTCGAGGATGGGCTGCGGCCCGGAAGGACCGGGCCGTCGGAGGTCCGAGTGCGTGCGTTCGGCGTCGCGCATAGGGAGGTGCGGCGAGGGGGCGGCCTTCTTGGAAGGAAGGACGGGCAGCTTCTCAGAGCCCCGGCCGTCCCAGCGGCCCAGGCCTCCCTCCTGCGCCCTCGTCGCCGTCTGCCTGCCTCTCCCCTTTTCCTTTGCTCCCCTCTCCGCCCTGGCAGCAGGGCCTGCCCAGGAGCAGCGTGGAGGCGCGTGCATCGTGGGTGCGCGCCTCGGCGCTTGGCCTCCCAGATGGGGTCGGAGGATCGCGCCGCATCCCCCCTCGGCGACGCGTCTCGATGTGGAGCCCGAGGTTCTTCTCGCAGACGTCGCCGGTGCATCGCCGACGTCGCCGAGGCATCGCCCATGCAGCCCCGATGCATCGCCGATGTATCAGCGATGCGGCGCGATCCTCCGACCCCACCGATTCGGACCATCCAGGAGACCTCTATCGATGCGTGTCCTGACCCGTTCTCCGAGCCCCGAGTCTCGGAGCCCGTCCTGGGACGCCCACCCGCCGTGCCTGCTACGTCACGCTGCCCCCCGGAGCGGCCAGTCGACTCGAGAGGTCCCCACGACCTTCGGCCACGCGCAGATGGTGGGAAGGGGGAGTGGGGAAGGCTTCTTTTCCAGCACCCCTGCTCCTGAGGAGGCAGGGGCCTTCCCTGCAGGCGTGAGGCTGGCGCCTGCCCAGTAGCAGGGGTGTTTCCAAGGAGCCTTCCCCCCCTCCTCCTCCTCCTCCTCCTCCTCCTCCTCCTCCTCCTCCTCCTCCTCCTCCTCCTCCTCCTCCTCCTTCTCCTCCTCCTCCCCCTCCTCCTCCGCCTGCCTCCTCCTCCTCCTCCTCTTCCGCCTGCCTCCCTCTGCGCGCCGCCAACTGCTGCGTTGCGCTGCCCCCCCTCGATCCGATCCGATGTCGACGGCTGCCGCTGCCGATCCGCTTCGACTTCGGGTTCCGACTCTCAGGGGGGGAAAAACACAGGGACACGATGAATCGTCGACTCCCAGGAAGATATGGGAAAATATGGGAAGTGGGGGGAAGACAAAAACCTCGAAAATATGGAAATGTGGAGGATCGTTTTATTTGTGTGTATTTATTTGCATACCCCAGGGCCCCTTCAGATTCGATTCGGGCTCCGATTTCTCAAAGGAGGCCTGCCATCAGGGAGGCGTAAGACTCGAGTGCGCCGAACCTCGGGTTCGCCTGCGCTTTCTGACGAGCCCGTCTTGAGTTTTGACGGTCCCGTTTTCGTGGGATGTCTGCAGCGGGAGCCCGCGTCAAATCTCAGGTTGGGTCGCGTCATCTGAATGATGAACCCGCTGGGCCAACCCGCGCCCCCACGTCTCCCCGATACCAGCCTGCCGATTCCCGCCGATCCGGCTTCTCCCGCCTCGTCGATCCGCTGCTGGGCCCTCCTGCCCGCGCGCCATGCCCCCTTGTGGCAGCTCCCCCCGACCTTCCTTCACGGGCGCGGACCTCCCCTCGAGGCGCCCAGCTGAGTGCGGCCGCCTCGAGGGCGCGCGGCGCATGGCTGGAGCATGCGAGCTCGGGGGCCCCTCCGACTGTTCTTGTTCAGCCCGCTGTCGCTGATTTCCGCGGGCCGCTGCCGCGAGGTGGCGCACGAGCTCGGCGCTGACGCAGTGCGGCTCCTGGGCGCTCGTACCGGGAGCTGGGCAGGAGGGCGGGACCAGGTGGAGAAGTTGGGTTTCGGGCGCTTTGCTATTCAGTTCGGTTGGGCCGCGTTGGCCCACTCGTTCTGCGAGTTGCACGGTCGTACTCGGACGACAATTTCGAGTCAAAGATGTGGTGGGTATTTTCACACACGCACACACACACACGAAGGTCACCAGGGCAGAGCCGGAGCGGTGCGAGTGAAGAGTGCCAATTTAGACGTGAAGTGGATAGCCGGATATCCACTCCCGACAGGGACCACGGGCAAGAATATCAGTGTATACGAGGTGGTGGTGAGAGAGACGCATCAGTGGATCGATGCCATCGTTCGCGATCTCGATCGTTGTTGGCAACAGGCGTGGACGTGAACAGTGGCTTCGGCGAGCGCAGTGACGGAGCTCCTGTGGGTGAGGAACATGCTGGTGAGCACCACAGAGCACGACAGAACCTACCAGGCGATTTGGCGGAGCAGTTGTGTTATACGAGATCCTTATGCTCACCTAGCACTTGGTATCGCGAGGGTAACCCTACTTTCTTCGGTGCCAATGGGACGGGATCTACGATCGACCATTGGTTCATCCCAGATGCCGCGCTGGGGAACGTCCTCGAGTGCAAGGTAAGCTACTACCACGGGCGACGGCTACAACTCATCCCTGGTAGGGAGCTTAGGGATCATCGACTTTTCTTGCTGGTGCTGAGCTACATACTGGAGATGCAAGTCGGGATTCCAGGCGCAGCCGAGAAGAGATTACTCGCTTGGGATCTTCGGAGGTTGTCAGAGGCGTTGCAGGCGGGCAAGGTACGACGCTTTTCTGGCACAGTTGGAAGGGGCCTTCAGACAACATGAATATGAGTTCAAATCCTTGCGCGAAGAGCGACGAGTCGATGGGCATTGGAGTTCGGCCATGCAGCTGATACAAGGCGCTGGGCAGATACGTTTCAAAAAAACATTCCTGAACTGAGTAATACGGCATAAGCACGTTTGCAAGTTGAGAGGCGTCGGTTGGGTGCCCCGCGCGTTGAGGAGCGAGAGCGGGCGGCTGAACTGGGACCCCGAGGGCCCGACTCCAACGGTGACGACGGGCAGCTGGAACCCGCCAAGAGGCCAGCGAGCAGTTTCGGCGGCGGGCAAGACGAAGACGAGCTGAGAGACGTGCATCGCTGGTTTGGGCGCACCTTTGAGCAGCATCGCGTCGCCCATCTCCTTGCCGAGCGACCCCGCGGCACTCGACGCCGACGGTATCTTACAACACCTGAGCCGCGCCCGTTTGCGAAGGCGGTCGCGGCCCACATGGCGACGCCGAGCGCGGCGGGGGGCATGTCTGACGTTCGAGTGGACTGCGCGGAGCTTCGACGACGCCGAGGAACTACCACCACAGCTCTCGGAGGAAGCACGTGCCTAGCATAATTGGCTGGACGCGATTCAAGACGTGCGATGCGTGCAATGCGGAAAAAGTGGGAAGCGCAGAGGATCGGCGCAGTGGGGCGCTCCTGTCGAACTGATCTTGCAATGTCTCGAACCTGAACACTGCGCGACTGCGAGGCGCCCGCAGCGCGGACTCGGACAACCTGCCGTCGAGTAGGTCGCGCGGTCATGCCGCCGCTGTCGGGATGAGGTGCTGGAGTTTCTGCTGCGCGCGCCTCCAGTGGATCGAGCGCCCGCCGCAGCTAACTGGCCCTTTGGCTTCTCTATCGACAAACGCGATGGCTCGGGGGGTTCGGGCGGCAAGAGGCCCATCCACCTGGCCCGCGCGCCCTGGGATTTTCCCCCGGGCCTCTTGAAGGGGCCGAACTGTTGCGAGTTCGAGCTGAACTTCGGCCCGACGTGCCACGGCTATTTGGCGCGCGGGAGGCGAGAGGGCGCGATGTTGGCCACGCTCTGCGCCGGCTACGCGCTAAGGCAGCGCGGTCGTGAGCGCGTCGGAGCTGGTCGACATGTCCAACGCGTTCGCCTGCGCACCGATGGAGTGGCACGACGAAGCGGCGCAGGGGATGGCAGACGCTGTGGACTGGGCGCTCCTGCGCGATTACGCCCATCGCCGCGTCGCGGACAGGCGCGCGGCGAGGCGATGCACGTTGCCCTCGGCCTTGTCGATCTCATCTGCACTTGCGAGGCCCCAAGGGAGTTCGCGGTGGCCCTCAGCGGACCCGCGCGGCGACGGCGCGCCCAATGTGCGGCCCAGGGCGACCTGCCCATGTTGAAGACCCCCCATCCTGGAGTTGCCCGCGTCGCGCGCGGCGGCGCAGTTCGCCGACGACTTGATGAAGAGGCACATTGCACTGACCGGCCTGGCGTCGGACGCCCATGCGATCACCGACGAGAGCCAGCCCGCCCTGATCAACGAGCTCGAGAAGGGGGGCTTCAAGCAGAACGCGAAGAAGCGCGAGCTGGCCACGGAGCTCAAGCCGACTGAGAACCGCCACTGCAAGACACAGTCGGCGAATCGCCCTGGTCGCATTCATCCGCGCGCTCGCCATCTTGGCGGGCGGTGCGTTTGGAACCACACCGCGAATGCCGATGTCGGTTTATCGCATCGACGCGCTGCAGCAGGGCTGGATTGAGATGGGCAGGCTCTGGTTCGCGAAGAGCCCCCACAAGCTGCGACGATTATAATTTCATGGCAAAGTTGTGGGGGCTGCCCTCTCTGGCACGCTCAGCCGTTGACCCTCGGAATCTCAGCTCCACCGCCCGGGCGCGCGGATCAGCGATAAGTCGAGGGGCCTCGAAGG